CTCTGTTTTCAGTACAGCAGCATAGTGGCTTTTACTTTTCAAAATCACAAAATATCACCTAAGAAACTAAGTCTGCCAAAAGGTTGCACATACAGAGTACATTTATTTTCCTTTAATGCCCATATATATGTATCAAACATAGGAGCTCACAGAGTACACATATATACATGCATAACCACTAATTTGTGGGAACCTGCTTTTGTTCTCGATTTTTGAAGGTGCTCCAGCCTTTCTTAAAATCAAACATTTTACCAACTGATTAATGGAAAACAAGGGATGCTACCTTTCAAAACAAAGTCACCACACAACCCAAGTTAACAAAATTATGAAGCCTTTGCTTATCAGAGGATTGTTAAATAAGTAACTCCAGAGATCAGGATATTAATGTAATGTATGGAGAGTGATTAGTCTCCTGGAAGACGTTTCTGCCTGAGATGAGCTACAAGACACATCCTCAGATTAAACTTTCATCAGCAGATCTCTGTATTTCATCAATCTTTCATTATGGCATAGCTTAGAAAATCATCTGGTCAGGTGTCATTAGAAAACCTCTTCATCTTCCAAAGCAAAAACTACCCAAATAAATTAGTACAAGCAAAAGAGAGTTAAAAGGAGGGCCTGCAGATCGTTTAGGGGTTCAACAGATCAAAACATAGGGAAATACACATTTCTACAGTATTTTAAAATTGAAAGACTACCTTTCACAACAAATCCAATATGTTTTTTATACAGGTTCTTGGACTAGAAGATATAGCTAATTAACAAAAGTCAAGTGCAACAACTTCTGGAAGATCTTCATCCCAGAAACTGGGATGTCACTAACTTTGTGGATGCTTAATCCATCAAAGCAGCAATGTGATCCCCTCACTGTTTTTCTGATGATGGCAAACTCATAATCAGGGAAAGTTGCTTTTGCAGTCAGTGAATGGCTCTGGTATTTCTCACCTCAGTAGCAACAGGTGATTTTACCAGGATAAGCCCAAGGACTGCGTGCTAATATATACATGAAAAGAGATGCAGTGCAATTTCCAGCTCAACAATATGTTTTTCTCAGCTCCTGTTCTCTTGTCACCAAACGCTTGCGTTAGTGCTTTTTCAGTGAACCCTACATCGTTTATGCTACCTTTCAAAACATGTTTCCTAGACTAAACATCTCTATGCCCAAAACACATTGTACATCTGATTATTCAGTCATAAGTTTGTTCTTTCTGCTTGTCCTTTGGATCTTCTGCTATTTAACATCACCTGCAGTCTGAGTTTACTTACAAATAATGGCTACACTGCTTTTCCTGCAGTCCTATTTTTTAAAATGTGTCAATAAAATATTGAACAAATTACATTTCAAAAAGGGTGGGCTCCAGTCCTGAAAGTCATTCTGGACACAAAATTTCTGTAGAAGCACCTATCAAGATTATTACAAAGGGCTAAGAATAGGAAAACTCTGAAATCAATCTTATGAAAAAAAATAGATCCCAATAAAAGTGGCTAAGAACATTATTGTGCCAGCAAATGAAATATTAAGGCTAGCTTTGATTGCGTGTTTAATACATAAACACAATATATAATAAACTTCAATAAACTATTTCTTGCTGTTACTTACAGCAATCAATCTAGAAAAATCATCTTCTCTTGAAACAAGAAATGTTCCCTGTGAACACAGAAAGGCCCACTCCCATTACTGACTGTAGAAGCATGAAAAAAGGTTAGTTTATTTGCTCTTCCAGGTTCTCTGTGTTGTCAAACAACATCTTTTCAGGAAAACAGTTGAGAAAGCTTCTACTTTTTTTGACCAAAAGGTAGAACTAGGTTTGTTTGAGGGGTTCTTGTTGCTTGTATTTTTTAAATTGGATCTGTACTTCTCCCACATATGCCATAACTGAGTATTTTTTTTTTTCTTAATAGAGATGTGAGTTTCTGCAGAAGTCTCAGCAGAACTGGAATTCATCTTTGGCCCCCAGATATGGCATGTAAATGGGCAGGAGTGGGATCAGAGATGCTATTTCCTGTGCCCAGTACATAGTCTTTGATAAATGCTGTGGGATATTGTGGTAGATCTGTAGGTCAGAGCAGACAGAATGAGTTCCACATACAATCTTTCCCAACAACTCCTGCCCTACTGATAGGGCTTATATTCATCTAGAAGAGTCTGCTATTGCCTCCCAACTCCAGATATAATTCACCAAAAGCTAACAACATTATTGGTGTCACTTGGTAGCAAAATGCATATTTCTCTTAAATGTTCCCTTAAAATATTTATGATTCTATGACCAGTTCTATCTTTAGGAGAGGTAGGTACCCAGCCTGAGGAAATATGACCCATTATCTTATTTTATAAACAACATAATGGAATTATTTTATTTTTCAAAGAAATGTAAGTATTTGGAAAAAGAACTGTAAATGCTTCCAAAAAAAATGAATGAAAATTAAAGCTGGCTTCCTTTAGTCTGTAAAGCTGCATCACATGTAGGTGCCCCTTAAGATGCTCTATTTATTTTTTGACCGAACTAGCGAGCCACTACAAAATCTGAATTGAAGGGACCATTTTCTAATGCAAACAAAGCACTCTAATGGTTTATTCATAAGAAGTTAAAACCTTTTTACTTTGCAGTATTTCAAACTGGATTTCCCCCTTTTAGATCTCTCAAAAATCTGGATCAGTTAAAAACCAGTAAACCAGTTAACCTGTCCCCTCCAACCATCAGTCATTTATAAAAATAAAAAAAATAGAAAGATGGAATTGGGTCACCCTTCCTCTTGGGAATTTAGCCATTGATAATCAGAAACTTTGAGGACGATTACAGAAGTTTCAGAAAATCTTTTACTGGGAAAGATTTTTGAGGTTTGAAATGACATTTCCCATCGGAAGTTGGAGACAAAAACCCCCCGCTGGCTACTGCAAATATCTTGATAATCACAGAATCATAAAATGCCCTCTGGGTTTGAAGGGACCTCAAAGATCACCATGTTCTAACCTCCTCTGCCTTGGACAGGGATACCTTCAACTAGATCAGGTTGCTCAGAGCTCCATCCAACCTGGTCTTAAACACTTCCTGGGATAGGGCATCCATAACTTCTCTGGGCAACCTGTTCCAGCACTTCACTACCCTCACAGTAAAGAACTTCTTCCTAAGATCTGATCTAAACCTACTCTCCTTCAGTTTGACACCATTCTCCCATGTCCTGTCACTACATGCTCTTGTAAATAATCTTGCCCCATCTTTCCTCTAAGCTCTCTTCAGGTACTGGAAGGCAGCAATTAGGTCACCCCTAAGCCTTCTCTTCTCCAGGCTGAACAATCCCAATTATCTCAGCGTTTCCTCATAGGAGAAGTCCTCCATCCCTCTAATCAACTTGAACTCACTCCAACAGGCTGATGTTCCTCCTGTGCTGGGGACCCAGAGCTGGATGCAGCACTGCAGGAGGGGTCTCAGCAGAGCAGAGTACATTGGCAGAATCACCTCCCTCGCCCTGCTGGCCACGCTGCTTTTGATTGCAGCCCAGGATACAATTGGCTTTCAGGGCTGCAAGTGCACATTGCCAGGTCATGTCCAGCCTCTCATCCACCAGCATTCCCAAGTCCTTCTTGGCAGGGATGATCTTGATCTGTTCATTCCCCAACCTGTATATACTGGGGGTTGCCCTGACTCAGGTGCAGCACCTTGCACTTGGTCTTGTTAAAACTCATGAGATTCCCATGGGCCCACTTCTCGAGCTTGTCCAGGTCTCTCTGGATGGCATCCTGTCCTTCAGCACCACTCAGCCTGGGGTCATCTGCAAATTCGCTTAAGGTACACTCAATCACTTTATCTATGTCGTTAATGAAGACATTAAATAATACTGGTCCCAACAGGGACCTCTGAGGGACACCACTTGTCACTGATGTCCATCAGGACTCTGAGCTGTTGACCACTACCCTCTGGATGCAACTGTCCAGACAATTTGTTATCCATCTAACAGTCCACTCATCAAATCCAGCTCTCTGCAATTTAGAGGGAAGGATGTTGTGGGGGACCATGTCAAAGGCTTTACAGAATTCCAGATAAATGACACCTGTAACACTTCCTTAGTCCACTGATACAGTTACTCCATCATAGAAGACCACTAGGCCCTAATCAAACACGGACATAAACAGCAGCAGCTTGTTAAGTGTTACTCAATCCCTACTACCCATGTGTCAGGACGGGTAGTGTCCTAAGATCCTGGACTTACTCCATGCGAATGGCAATGTTTTTGCTAGGTCAAAATTCCAAGTGGGACAGGGAGACAGCTCGCTCTCCTGCTCCAAGTCAGTCACTTTCACAACCCTGTTCCCACAGCGATGTTACCTGACAAAGAAGGATGTTACCAAAAGAACCAGTCAGGAAGGAAACCTAAGGAAAGACTGCCTCCAGGACAGGAAGGCCTTTAGCACATACTCCTGGTTGTTCCCTACAGAAAGGAAGAACTTCAGCTCCCAGGCAAGCCACATTGCATGGACAAATCTTAGTGTTCTGCAACACCCCTGGGAATTTTCTTCCATCAAGAGCTAGAAGTAATGGTAATGGCTTAAAACCATTATTTTTTCCTCAATCCAACTTTTTTCTCCATCAAATCAAATATCTCAAGAAAGTGGCAACACATACATACAATCAGAGCATAGGTGGCACATTTAACTTGGACAAGCAGGAAGAAATGCTTTCACATAGCCACAAGAAACATACTATAGGACATATTTGAAAACATGGTTTTATACTAAAAAGTACATGTATCTGAAACAAAACGATGTTGTGTATGCAGTTTTATGCACCTGGCTAAATTAATCTGAAAGGTTTGTTCAATATGGGTTTAGCAAAGCAGCATATAAGTGATACATTATGAAAAGCAGAGTTTAAAAAGTAACACTAGCAAGAAAATAAGAGTTTATCCACCTTCCCATAGCCCCAGAACACACTTATATGTACTCTGTATCAGTAGACCAAAATAGCACCAAGTCAAGAGGGATAAGGAGAGCGAAGACTTACCGACCGTTGTCACGGCCCACGCCCCAGACTCTGATGCTCACAATGGGCTGTGAGTGCAGAACTGTGCGGTCCATGGGATCAATCAGGTTCAGCATGTCATTTTCCAGTATGAGGTACATGTCTTTGCCCTGCAACTCCAGACAAAGTACAGTTACACAGTACATCCCCCTCTCAAACCAACTGGGCTCAAGGCATCTGTGCTGTTCAGACTTTACTCAAAGTTTTGGTTTGTTCCAAGAGCAATTGAAAACTAGTTCATATACTTCCAGTGTGAAAAAGATGTAAGATACTTTCTTTCTACCACATGTTTAAACAATGCCAATCACAAGAAGCTTTGATGTATTTTAAATGCAACTCATTCAAGCCCAAGCTACTGAGTTCTTCAACAGATTCTGTGTTCATCTTTTCTTCAGTAAATTCTTCCAAATACATGAGAGGTCACGGTCTGTCTCAACAGCAAAAGCTTATATCAAAACCTGTACCCATGAGGCAGAGTTCCTTCTTTCAAAGTGTTTTGTTTCCATAAACTTTACCAATGGATTATGGGAAGAGACAGCAATTTGTATGTGTCAAAGGATTTACAAAATACTCTTTGAAGAATGATTAAAGGGGAAAACCTAGCATTAAGACCAGATTGTGAATTCTGCTAGTGACTGCAGAATCCTGGAGCCAGGATTTCTCCCTAACTCTTTTGACATGTAAGAACAAGGATAATGCTTGTTCCCCTTACAGAAAACAAATTTAGAAACAATTTTCCTTTTGATGCTAATTCACAAATGCTAATCTTCCCCTTATTGCTAGCACTTGTAATAGGTCTGCTGCCTGTCCTATCACATGTAATACCTCTCTTCTTGGAGGCTGTACACATACTCTGCAGACCATGAGATCCCACAGAAGTGATCCCAGACCTATTGCTGACAGTTAAGATAAGCTCCTGCCAATCAGAAGAAGAAAGTGGAACCTATGAGCTAAACACAGAGTAATTTGTTTCCGCTCTATTGTGCCAGAATCTATAAATGAACAGAAAGAATGAAAAGGATCTGACTCTCTACTGACAGATGTTTCAAAACCAATCTTTTCCTTCACCTCAGTGACACAGAAACCCTCTTCTTGCTTGGTTACAGTGGCTCAAGTCTCAATGATGTCTAATTTTGTGTCTGGCTAAGAAATAAATTCATGTCACTCTGAGGGCCTTCTGCCACAGTTTGTAGGCTAGGCACCACGGGGCAGGTACTGCCCACCTCCTTCCCAACCCCAGATCTCCTAACAGTGAATCAAAGAGGAGCTGTGACACAGAGCTGGCAGTGCAAGTGCCAAGAGGGATAGATGTGGGAGAGGTAGGGGACACCTGGTATATGTGATGCCAACACAAGAATATTTTGCCTGATGGGAAAAAGTACAGCTGTGGCAGAGATGTAAGGCTGTATATATAGGCTGCTCCTAGAGAAGCAGAAACAGATGTAGCTGTGATAGTCATGCACAAAAATGGGGCAAATCAGCAGCACTGAGCTGCTAGCGGCATACAGAAAAAGAAACCCGAGAAATAAAACACAAAAGCCAGGATGACACCAGACAGACCAGGATGATGAAGGAAACCAAAGAGAAAACAGAGTCATCACAAAGAAAAAGTGGGAAAAATTTGCTTGGAGGTCAGAAGCAGAAGATAAATTGTGTGAAGAATGCTGCCAAGTGTAACAAAGATTGCTTTTTGGATCCATTTTCTATTTAAATATTTGTTCCAAAAGGAAATTATTACAAGAATGTAAAATCTGTTCATCATGCAAAATATACTGGGATTAGAGTAATGAAACTGAAACCAAATTAGTTGGAAAAAAATTGGAGAATGGGCAGATAAGCAACATAAGTCACATGAAATTATCCTTGTAATGCTCAAGGGACAGCTTGTCCACAAGCAGAAACAATATATTTTGCTAATTTTTGTAGCCTTATTATACAAAAGCTATTTTAGAGATGAAAACACTGCATAGGGCAAAAAGACATTATTTAGACAGACTGGGAGCTTGAGCATAGGCTTTAACGTCTCAGACTGCTGAAGAGCTGCTGAGATCTCACGGTTTGAGATGAGGAAAGGGAAGAGCCATGCAGAGAAAGTAAATAGAGGGAAGAGAGGCTCAATGCAAGCACACGACCCAGAAGTGTTATAGGTTGAGGTATAAAGGTCAATGGCAAGAACGCATCTTTTTCATCTAAGTGATATTGTAACGTACAGAAATATGATGCATGGCAGAAGAGCAACACAAACAGATGAGTAGCGCTTTTCTTTTTAGATTTTACAGGACAGTAGACGTTCAAAAGTTACAGGGAATTTCTTTTGGACCAAAGGGCATGAAATCCCACATTAAAGCCAGTAACAAAGCTTCTGCAGGGTCAGGATTTTAACTAGGGTATGGGAGTTTTTTTGTTTTGTTTTGTGGGTTTTTTAAATCATGAAAACTTGGTGATGGTCCTAGCCTCAATTTCACTTTCATTATATTCTAGCTAAAGTAAATCTTTAGGCAATCTTAAAACCCCTATCTGCAGTCATCAGTTCTAGTCTCATAATAGATTTCTGCTATAATTGCTCCATCTGATGGAGCTGTCAGTGACACAGCACTATTTTTTTCAGATTCCTCTCTAAAACACACCTCTTCCAATCACTCTTGAACCTTTCATGTAATGAATTCTTTTAAAATCAAGAAGACAATTTACTTCAGGAGCCACCTATTAAAGCACATTGTCTCTATTATATTTCAAGTTGACAAGAGTTCTGTCATCTGAAATATGGGTGAGATTACACACATGTAAAGACACTGGGGTTTTCCTCCTCCTGGGATCAGCAGTAAGTCCAAAGTCCATGACCGACACACTTCTAATTGCCTGTCTAGTTAAATTATCTAAATAAAACCGATCCCAGATGTAAGAAAAAAGGGAAACCTATGTTATTTGTTCAGTTATATATACAATATATATTTCTTACATAGAAAAATCCTTCTGAAATTACTTGAAATAGATGGAACACTATAAATGAGTTCCTTTAAACATAATTTTAATTTTCAAAGAGGCACTTGCTCTCTGTAGCACCTTGGCACTGCTATGGTCATAACCAGGATACTGGACTTGAGCCTTAGACTGCAACAATAACTTGGGAGACTGAATGATATTTTTCCTAAAATGTTCATTTAAATAGACAAGTCTTTCTTTTAATTTCTTTTTTGTTTGGCAGTGCCATTTCTCTTAGATCACACAAAGGAAGTTACAACATTTGCTCTTTCATCACTTATATATTCAGATCTTGTGTGGCAAATCCACACTAGTGTAGCCCTCCTGAAAACATGTCAGGAGAGAGGTAGAGAATAAGATTTGGTTGAAGTTTAAGTTGTTCCATGAACAAACAAATAACAAAAATGTTTTACTGTGTCTCCTATGGCCCCTGCACCTCCCACCTTTTCCTTTCTCGTTTCACTTACTGACCCCTCCATATCTTCCACTTCTTCATCTGTCCCCAGTACACCTATTTTTCACACCACAAAACCTCAAGCTTCCTTGAATTTCCTCTTGAGTTCCCACAGCATTATCCTGTCTCTGCTGCCAGTTCAGAAAGCACCACAGAGCTCGCCAGGTTCAGTTGATGAAGGTGCACCAACCCTTCAGCAAATCAAGAAAGAGAGCTGGGCTCTCTGTTTTTCCTTCAGTGTGTGGGAATTCAGCATCCTTCAAAACTGGATGACACCGGTGCACAGATTCAAGAGTTATGGGAGAGGAACTAGAAGACAGACTAATGACATACAATTAATCTCCTTCTGAAACACTGATAAAATAATCATCTTAAAATAAGCCATCCGTACATCAGTTCCGATCTTTTCATACGTTTCAGAAGCACAGATCATGCCAGTCTGGGTTTCCTCAAAGCTCTCTGTCACAGGGAAACCTTCAAAAATGCTGTTCTAAAGCACCACTCTCAAACTTCTTGAAGACTTGCACTGAATTTCAACAGCTTGGCTTATGTGTTCCCAGCACTGTCATTGCACAGGTGTGTACCAGCACAGATGTAAACATGAAGGCAAGATCTTTGTGGCATCTGCTGTCCTGAGCAGTTTGGAACAAAAAGGTCAACATTTTCCTTGAACCCTTTTTGGCAGTGCCAGCTGGGTTAGGGAAATCCCAAACACAGAGCATGGACATAGCTGTCTACAAAGTTGTTCTTTCAAGATGTTTTATGACACGAGAGGGATGTTCCAAGAGGAGGAAAAGTTCACCCTCTTCTTACCTCTCCCCAGATGCCAACAGTGTCTCTGATGTCATTTTTACAGTAAGAGAGTTGCCTGATGCAATTGTTCACAGCAACACTGCTTTTTCCAGGAGCTAGATCTTCTTCTGCCATTTCTACCCAGCCCAGAGATCGCACAGCAAAGCACTGAAAAGAAACCAGAAAATATCTGTCATGCAACAGAAATCAGACAGTTAAGGTTAAAGATCCCCAGCTAGGAGGGGAACAAAATTAAGGCCTTGTGGATGGGCTTATGCTCAAAGATAAGTAAATGAAAACATAATTTGTGAACTGCAGGGTGAAAACATTCAAAGAAGAATGCATGACTTGCTATGAAAAGTATCTGTGGAGGCAACAGGAATGCTTTTCAATAAAATACTTCTTTTTAATATAAAGAAGGAAACAAGGGAGCAGAAAATAGTACGACAGAAAAATAAAGGAAAAAGCACAACTACAGATAGAGTAAAATTGAAACTTTAGCTGGGATCTAGAGATCTAATTGAAAAGAAAGAAAATACTAGTGGATTATGTCTCTTGTCTGGCTTTTAACCAGAAAATTACACTTTTTTGTGGATTACAGCAATCACTTCTACAGTAAGTGTAATTAAAGTAGCAAACAATAACAAATTCAAAGCACTAAGAAAAAGATAAGCTACCATAAGAGGAATGCAGACTTTTTCTAGAAGAAATTAAAAATTACCTTTAAAAAAACCCACTTTAATTATACTTGTTTTTTTAGCAGAAAGATGTTTAGCCAACCAGAGCACTCAGTTGGCAGAACAAGCCAAGGCGACATTACTTTGCACATATGGTGCTTTTTGCAAACAAAACAAAAGGGGAGAAATTGAATAGCACCATCCCTACCCTACATCTACTAGAGCAGAGAATAAAAAGCTTTAATTCTGAGAAAAAAACCCCAGCTCTCAGGCTTTATGGTGGGAGAAATACAGACCTTCCACTAAGTTAACAGGAGTTTGTCTATGAGACCAAGACTTGCTCCAGAGAATGTTACAGGAATCTCACTCCCAAACAGCAACGCACAGCCAGCAATAGGCACAACAGACTGACTGTTGCACCTGCCTAACAGACACACCAAATGCTTAAGATGGTCTCTAAAGGTTCAGCAGTAGCAGACCAATACTCATTGTCCAGTGCTGCTGCCTTGTGCCACAGAGCCAGAAAGCAGACAACCATCCTGGGAGCTGCAGGAAGGTGACTGCTGGGAGCCCTGCTGCCTCCAGCAGCACCCTGCCACATGGGCAGGCAGCTCAGGAGCAGCAACAGCAGGTCCATGCTGGAGCTACCAATTAATCCTTCTCCTTGAGATGCAATAAATAACTCAGCTTCAGTTCAAAAGCTGACACTGAATATTCATTTGCCACCTTCTAAAAAATGCTGTAAAGCCAGCAAGTAGATCAAGCTCACACACCATCACTAGTGTGCCATTTGGGAACAACTGTCCTCAAAAAGAAGCTACCACAAAACACCAAGGTATTTTAAATATGCATAATATGTCAACTTTGGCAAACTAAGGGAGGAATAATATTCACCAGTGAGTAAAAAGATTAATGAGTTTCTTCCTCCTTTCCTTTAAAACTTCTCCTTCAGCCTTCTTTCATTTTGCACAACTGCACTCATCCAAGCTCACTTCACCATGAAGAAAACCCAGCCTAAGAACCTGCTTCCCATACCTCTGGTACCTACCCCAATGAGTCACTAATGATGCATCTCATCTCAAGCATCAGACAGTAAATATGCTCTACAATTGTGTAAAACCCTTCAGTGAGTGTGACTAAAAAATTAAAGCCTTTCATGCCTCCAGATTTTTTGTGGATTTTTTTTTTCTTTGCAAAGAAGGGAATCAACATGCAAATTCTCCCATGCTGCTCCCTGACCCAGCTCCACTGGAAACCCAGAGAAGTGCTGACTTTCAGTTCTAAATGGACACGAAGTAGAAGGTGAAAGAGTAGATAAAGGAGAGTTCACCACTCAGGGGTGCTCTTCACTTCAGAGCTACGCAAGATATTAAAATATCAACATTTAGCAATTATTACAGTTGTCTAATCTTAAGATTGCAGAATTGTTTCTGGCACATCAGATGCTCATGAATCTTGCTGAAAGTGCTGCTATACCCACTGGGGTATTAAATATTTATCTTTGCAAGCTTTAAAAACACCAGTTTTTACTGTACCAGAAGAAAGGGGTTTTTTGACAAGTATTTAAATATTAAATTGAATAGCAGAATACTAGCACAGAGAAACATTTTCTAAATCATAAGAGAGGTGAAGAACTAAATATATACAACAAGCATTCTGTTTCCTCATTACTCTTCATATCTCTACCACATCTGCAATTTGTTAGCTGCTTTCTGAACACAAGGATAAATATAGAATCACAAATGCTTTGGGTTAGAAGGGTTTAAGATGACAGAGTTCCAAACCCCCTGCTGTGGGCAGGAACACCTTTCACTAGACCAAGACGCTCAGAGCTCCATTCAACCTATATACTCTTTGCACTGAACAGTGTGTACCTTAAGAAGGTCAAAAATGGTGAAAGACAATCACTTCAAACTGACGGCAGGTAAATCTCTGATTAGTAAAGATGGTAAACTGTTTTGGTATTTTTTCCTGGCCTTTTTTATTTAAAAATTATTTAAAATTTATTTAAAATTCTCCAGCAGTGGCATCCACTGTATTTCTTCAGACCACTGTCATAACAGTACAGTGAGCTGAACGGGACGGTCTTGTTTACCCCACATAATCCCCTCCATGCAAAGGGCTTGGCTTCCTTCTCCACTTCCATTCCCTGTCAGTGCTTCCAAATTAGGAAGACCTGAGAAAACCCCTTGGCTTCTGCCATCTGGCAAGTTTTTGTTTGTGTATTTCAAAAGAAGCCATTACCATAACTCAAACAAAATGCTTTAGAACAGCTTCATGAAAACAAACCAGTTTCCCAAATATTGCAAACAAAAACCTCTCAATCAACCCCAGAGAGACTCCACACCCCACTGTCAAGGCAACGCATGTACCTGAGTATACACATAAATGAAACTTTCTTTTGCTCAAAATACAGGTAAAGACCAAAACCCTTCTATGTCCTGGTTAACTGAATACACATGCTGATGTGACTCGGCAGTGATGGCAGACCTTCATGCAGATTTCTGAACTAGAAAATATGTGGACTCAGTATTGTGATACGCACCACTCAGCACCAGTACATAAACACACATCTGTGGGGTTGGAGAGAGGTGGAAGTCTGAGCCCACATGCCTGTGTGTCTGTCTCTCTCTGCATATTGCCAGCATCTGGATTATAAGAATCCACTTCATGTTTTATTGCTGGTTGCTTTTTTGCTCCCCTTCATTGCTTGACTTAGAGGTTCTCTTCTCTTTAAAATAAAAGAGCACAAAACCCAGCAGAAACAAACCACCTAGTGTCTCCAATCAGATATGACCTAATTTTTAGACCGTGGCTAGCTGAGTTAGCCGTGCCAGCAGAATTGCTTAGTCCTCTAACACACTAATACAGCATCATGCTTCCCTGGCTCCCACCGATGATACTCACAAGCCAAGAAACAAAGTACTTCCTTTGACCTGAAAGAGCTTTGCTAACACAACCTCTTTTCTTCTGGAACTAACATCTAGAGTCAAATCAAGCTGAGCTGAAAACCAGAGTGCAGCTCTTCTTGATTATGAGCTCAATAAAAAAAACAATCCTGGTAATGCCAGTCTGTTATGCACCTCTACTCAAGGCTCACAGATAATTACTGGCAAGTCATAATTACTGGTCTGTCATAATTTCAAAGTAATCCCAATGCCAACTTCTGGTTTACAGTAGACTACCTGATCTCTTTTTCTCTGTTACAGAAAGTTTTCTGTGCCTAGTCAGACAGCCTGCTTACCCCCAGACTCTTTTCAAGAGCTGGCAAAAAGAAAACAGGTTTGAAGAAAACCAAACAAAGTTGATAAACACAGCAGGATAAAAGAGATTTAGGAATTGTATACTGTGTTTGGATCACTGTTGTTTGAAATTGGGAAGAACAAAGATACTACCATAACACTGTGTGACTGAGAGAAGAGCATGGAGAAATGTCATTTAAACCACAGAATGTTAATAATCTTGTATTTTTATCTTCACTGGACTTTGCATTTCCTGCCTGGACATTGTGCAAAAAAAAGACCTAGGAAAAAAAGGCCACCTTATCACACACTATCCTAGGAAAAGACAGATGAGAAAAAATGAAAACACAGGTATCGCTGCTTGGTTTTACAGTTCTGGGGAACCTATGTTTGCATGGCTGCAAATCCAATTAATTTTCAAGGTAAATGATCTGTAACCAAAGAACTAAACTCATAAATGCTGTTGTCCAAACTCTGTAAAGAGCCATAAACCTCTCTAGCAGTGCAGTTCTGATCCAAAGCATCGCCTAAAGCTGGGGAGCTGTAGGATTGAAGAAACGAACAAACCACAGATTACACTTCTGCTCTTCGGCATTGGAAAACCTTCACCACAGGGTAGAGTTCTGCTCTGAAGCAGCTTTTCCAAAAAGCACTCTGGTAGGAGCTTTGGCAGGAATGCAGAACCATGACAAAGTTCTGCACATTGGCAAATGCACACACCAGCTGTTGCCCCATGCAATGCTAAGCATGCACCATCAAAGAAAATGAAAATATTGAGAAAACCAAAGCAAATACAATCCCTTGCTAAACAGAGGACAAGAGATCAACTGCACATGACTGATGGCAGAGTACAATTGGAAACAGGATGGGTCATAAGGACGTGGGTAGAAAAGATCCGATTACAGGGAGAAAATTAATAGAACATCAGTTTGAGAACGAACTAATGTACATTACAAGACCACAGACAGATTACTTTTCTTATTAAAAAGCTGTTGGTAGACACTATGAACATCTGTATTAAGCGTATGTTTGCCCTGATGCTTTAATTCTGTGCTACTTATTTCTTCTCTACTTCTGAGACTACAGGACTTGATTTTGAGCAGTTTCTCTTTGTTTCATTTTATGTTTTTCCTTTTCAAAGGTTATATCTGTCTGCAGACATACGTAAATCACTACAGTACTTAATAATAAGGCCTTTATCACAGACCACTGAGCAGGCTTGTGCCTGGAACACAGCATGCAGGTCACA